TTGATCAGTAATGGACTTTGAATATGATGACAGTCTCAGGGGATTTGTATTGCTTACTAACATCATAGACATTCTAGCTTGTGTAAGGATAGCCTATGATTTTCACAATGGCAAACTTATCAATGAACTTCCCCAAGTAAATCCCCATTTTTAAGTTATATGTGGCTGTAAGTAACTGTGTTGTTGTTTTGTTTTATTTTGTTTGATTATTTGTTTGTTTGTTGTCATGTGGAGTGTAAAGACCCTGAGTAGTGATTCTAAATGGCAGCCTAATCATTAAGTCTTGAACTTAAGAAATATCTGGATTAGAGATAGGAATTTTTAAGCCATCAGTGAATTATACATAACTAAAGCTAAAGATGTAATACAACATATAAGAGAATTGTAAAGGGGTCCCCTCTAAGAAGTAGAACTTAAGGAATTCATGAAGGAAAAGTCTAGACAGGGAACCTGAGAACAAAGGCTCAGAGCACTTGAAGGAAAGGTAGGAAGAGACAGTGATGCCACTAAAGCCAATGGAGGGGGATTTATGGATCAAATAGAATATTGCCAATGAGAGTCTGATGAGGGATGAAGAGTACACTGAACTTGGCTATTGAGGTATCACTGGATTCATCAGCTGTATTAGTCAGTTTTTTGCCTCTGTGATAAATACCTGAGAGAAACAATATATGGAAAGAAGGATGTGCTGGCTAGTTTTATGACAACCTGACACAAGCTATGGTCATCTGAGATGAGGAAACCTCAATTGAGAAAATGCCTGTGTAAGATCAGGCTGCAGGCAAGCCTGTTGAGCATTTTCTTAATTGCTGATTAATGAAGAAGGGCACAGCCCATTGTACGTGGTGCCATCCCAGGCTGTGGCTCCTGAGTTCTGTAAGAAAACAGTCTGAACAAGCCATGAGGAGCAAGCAAGAAAGCTGCATTCTTCATGACCTCAGCATCAGTTCCTGCCTCTAGTTTCCTACCCTGTTGAATTCCTGTCCTGACTTCCTTCAATGATGAACAGTAATGTGAAAGTATAAGCCAAGTAAAACCCTTTTCTCCCCAAGTTGCTTTGGTCATTGACAGGACCAAGCAGAAGCCATAAGAGGCTGCTCAGTCTTCTCTCAGACATCAGGCCTCAATTTCAGGTTCCTGAGACTTGAGCAAGCAGTTTCAGGGAGGACTATGGAAAACAAAACAAAACAAAACCATAGTCCTTGCAGTAGCTCCCTTTCTGAATATACTCTGACCACTCAAGTTTCAGCCAATTGTTTAATGTCTGGGACCCCTCATCAACTTAGAGATACGTGCCTAAGTCAAGGACAGAACCTGGACCACTGAGTCAGCCCCGATAGTCAGTACGTGCTAGGCCAGCCAGCCTCCATAGCAACTCAAGGACAAAGCCTGAGACTTGTCCAGGCCTAACCAAAAATTGATAACTGTAACCCCCAAATAATGCTAGCCAATTAAAAGTTTCTAACATGATTGCCACTCACATACTCACAGAAACCAATCCTGAATCAGTTCCTATGTAGTCTGTAGACCCCAAGCCCCCGCTGTTTTAAAAACTCTGCCCTGTTGGGCTGTGGTGGTACACACTTTTAAACCCAGCACTCCGGATGCAGAGCCAGGTGGATCTCTGTGAGTTCGAGGCTAGCCTGGTCTACAAAGCGAGATTAAGGACAGTTAACAAAGCTACACAGAGAAACCCTGTCATGAAAAAAACCAAAAAATTAAAAAAAAAAACTGCCCCATTGCTACTAAGGGTGTCTTCTGCTCTGCTGCTGCATCAGCTGGGCTGAGAGTCCTGAGTTAATTCATAATAATACAAAGACACTTTTCTCTTTGGATTTGGTCTTTTGGTGGTCTTTGGGAGAATCTGGGCACAACAGTCATGATGTTTCATCACAGCAATAGTAACACAGACTAAGACAAATGGCTTTGTAGTTTGATGGTATTTGATATTTTAATCCAAGATCACTTGGCTCTATTGCTTTTAAATCCATAGTGGAGCATGATAAACATCATGCAGGAAAGACATGTCAGAACAATATGCCTCACTGCATAGCAGTAAGGAGCCAAGAAAGACTAGAAAAGGCCAGGACAAGATACGCTTCAAAACATGCCACTCACACTTTGAGTGATCTATTTCCTCTAACCAGACCCCAATTTACACAGCTCCAATAGTCAGTTCAAAATTGTGAACCCATCAATGATTAGCCAACTGATGAAGGCAGGGTCCTTATATTCAAGCTTTCCCCAAAGTTCTGCCTCTAAATATTACTTACACTGGGGAACAGGTCTTCAGTGCATAACACCTTTGGGGAGGACACTTCTTATCCAAACCTTATCACCACCTGACCTTTCCTCTCTTCCTTCTTTTCCAGCACTGCATTGGTGGAGGAGGATTCTTCCCAGAACGTAACCCTACGCAGTTTGGCGACTTCTCTTCATTTGATTGGGATGGATATGGAACCCACAAGGGGGCCAGCAATAGCAGGAAGATAACTGAAGCAGCTGTGCTTCTGTTCTACCGTTAAGAACTTTGTGGTGTTGGACCCATACTTCTCCTGAGTCTGTGGACTCACATTCATGGAGCAAAACTTACCTAATAGCTAGAATGCTAATGACAGGAAAAAATAAATTGTGCTCATTGCAGGCTTGGTGTCTTCGTGAATCATTTTGGAACAGGGGTGGGAGATTTCAAAAGAGTTTCTGCTGCCCTGTTTGATTCTCTTGGGACACAAAGGCTGGGAATCCTGATACAGCAATACTTTCTCAGGTAGCCCCTCAAACATCCCAAAGAGATACAGGACAGAGAGGAGACACACTACTCCACCTCCACTACTTCCTTATTTTATTTGCATTCCTTGCTAGTTTATTTTTTTCCAGATGGGACTAGTGTATTCTGTGCTGGTCATAAACTCCCAATGTAACAAATACCCTGGGTAAACAAAAACAAAACATGGTATTTTAACAATTTACTTAAGGGGCCAGAGAATTTATTCCAGGGTAATGGTACTTACCAACAAACCTGATGGCCTGAGTTCAATTCTCACAATCCATGTGGTTAAGAGAGAGTCTAGTTCTGAGAGGTGTCCTCTAACCTCTTCCCATTTGTCATGGTGCCAGCACACAAATACATAAACTCATGCACACTTGAGGGTACAACATGAATAAAGAGGTATAATAAAATTTTTTCTTTGAAGATGAGTAGTATTCCTCTTTTTATGTGTACCAGATTTCTTTTATCAAAAAGAAAGGTGAAGTCACTAAATTTTCAAGAAAGTAGATTGGCTTAGAGTGTATGCTGTTAAATATCGTGATCCAATCTCCCCCATATGTGGATCCTAGTGCATAAAACATGTAAGTATATGTGTAAATGCTGTGGGATGTCTTTCTGTACTCTGTGAATATGTGTTGCTATGACTGATAAATAAAGAAGCTGCTCCGGCCTATGGTGAGTCAGGTTATAGCCAAGCAGGAAATCCAAGAGAAAGAGAGGAAGTAGAGGGGAGAGGTGGAGGAGATGCTGAGCCACCACCAAGAAGCAACATGCCAGCAGACTGGTAATGCCATGGCCATGTGGCAATACATAGATCAATAGAAAAGGGTTAATTTAAGATGAAAGAACTAGCTAGCAAGAAGCCTGACATATGCCATACAGTTTGTGATTAATATTAAATTAAACCTCTAAGTAATTATTTTATAAGTGGATGTGGGTCTGCAGGTGAGAGAGATTTGTTCCAACTCTGGGTCAGGCAGGACACGGGAAATCTTCCAACTACATGTGAGCAATTGTTGGTGTGAATATATTACATTTATAAAAAAGGTGGGTATATTACATTTATTTTTTTAAAAAGACCAAAAAAGGGTCATTTCAGGTGTACTGGCTGGTTTTGTGTGTCAAATTGACACAAGCTAGAATCATAAGAGAGGAAGAAGCCTCAATTGAGGAAATGCCTCCTTGAGATCCAGCTTACATGTAAGGCATTTTCTTACCTTGCCATCTCTGTGATAGTGGTCCTGGGTTCCCTGAGCAAGCCATGGGAAACAAGCCAGTAAGCAGCACTCCTCCATGGCCTCTGCATCAGCTTCTGCCTCCAGGATCCTGCCCTGTTTGAGTTCCTGTCCTGACTTCCTTCAATATGAACAGCAATTTGGAAGTGTAAGCCAAATAAACCCTTTTCACCTCACCTTGATTTTTGGTCATGGTGTTTGGTCACAGCAATAAAAACCCTAAGATATCAGGTGATGCGGAAAAATGAAATGCAGGTAAATGACACATGACCTGTGAAAAGCAATATAGAGTCAATTGTTTTTCTGTTTTCAACTCTTTTAGGATGTGTGTGTATGTGTTCGATAAGTCCCTAAAATGTAATTGACAGTGAAAGTTAAACACCTTAAGCAAAGCTCCAGAAAGGCCACAAAACCATCCTGAAGTTCACTGAAAAGTATGGAGTTAGGGACTGCGCAAGCAATTGAATGTTTTTTACTTGTGAGTTCATTACAATAAATGACGTTTTTAATTAAAAAGAATTTTTTTAAAAAGGTCTAGGATACAATTCAGTGGGAGAGTGCTTGCCCAGTATCCATGAGGCCCTGGGTTTCATTGTAAGTTTCCATTAAGAAGGAGGAGGAGGAGGAGGAGGAGGAGGAGGAGGAGGAGGAGGAGGAGGAGGAGATGAAGGAGAAGATTTCAATCTAGCAAAAGAATCACAGAGAGAAAAAAGAAAGAATAAAATATAATCTACAAAAAGGATGTCTTTAACTCTTTAGTTCTAGAACAAGACAAACTAGAGAGTAGGTTTATTTAATTAATGTGTTTTGGGTACAAACCACAGAATTATTTTTATAAATTCACACTTTCAATCTATTAAAAAATTATGATAATGGTAATTTGTCTACATTATGTCTGTCCCTGCCATGCCTAACTGCTATACGCTCTGACACACTGCCCTCTGTGAGTCTGGAAATATGAGGTAATTTTCTCTACATCTGCCTTGGAGTTACACTACAACAATGAGGCTGTTCTTTAGCAAAAATGCCCCAAATTTCCCTTTAATGAGTACAGTTAAATTGAAGGTCCAGGGATGTAACTCCATTAACATACATAATGTCCTGGGTCCTATCCCTGATACCACATAAACTGGACATGGCAGTACATACCTCTCGGCAAGTGGAGGCAGAAGGTTCAGAAGTTTGAGGCCAGCATGGCATACATGTCTCAAAAAAAAATCACATTCAAACATATTTTTTTGAGGCTGGAGAGATGGCTCAGCAGTTCAGAGCACTGGCTGCTCTTGCAGAGGACCTGGGTTCAATTCCCAACTTATAAATGGCAGCTCATAGTCACCTATAACTCTCGTTTCAGGATATTCAGTGCCCTCTTACACTCTTAGAGGATAAATTAGAAAAAAAATATTAGAAAAAAAGAAATATATTTAATTAAATACTCACGAATACTATATAAAGTGACTCACTAGCATGCAACAAGTTGTTACTCTATGCCAGGTAACTTCTTAGAACTATACATGTTGTTTCATTTAATTTTTGTGAAAAACACATAGGAACTTTACTGTTATCAATATATTAAAAATAAGGAAATGAAGACTTGGGTAGTTGAAAAACTTAACAAGGGTCAGGGAAAGTCAAGGAGGAAGCAGGACACTAAAAATAATGGCATATGCCACTCATCCCTCTAGGGTACGTGAGGAGTTAAGCCAAATCACCTTCTCAGTGAGGTCCTCCTGGCAGCCTTCTCTGAATTAGAGGCTCCCCTCTGTGCTTCGATAACTCCATGAGTCACACTTTCCTAGAAATTGTCACTTTTGCTCTTGAAAAGCCTGCAGGTTTAGAACGTGGCCCATCTGTCTGCTTTTTCACAGCTCCACAGTCCTTATTGAACTAGGTCCTGGACTAAGTGCTGGGGACATGTGAAGGACAGAAGTGTTCTGCAACTGGTCTGCTCACTCCCAATCAACAGTGCCTGGCACAAGAGAACTGTGTCACACACAGGGGGCTGCCAACAGATAAACCTCATTCAGATTTCCGATTGCTTTCTCTAATTGGAAGAAAGGTGTGTGAAAATAATGAGGAACCAAAGATATCTGTATAGTTTTTAATTTTTTACACTTATTTATGCATGTGTGTGTGTGTATGTGTGCGCACGCATGCACATGTGTATGTGTCACACAAGCCATTATACCATGGAGGTTGGGCAGCTCAGTTTTCTCCTTCTAAAATGTGGATCATGGGAAGCAAAATCAAGTCATTGGGCCCCATGGCAAGCACCCTGACCAGATAAGCCATCCTGCTGGCCTCTCATCTTTGATGAAGAATGAGATAAGAGAAAAGTCAGGAAAGAACAGCTAGCAAAAGCCAGGCTATTAAGGAAAGAGAAGGAGATGGGATAAAAGGGAAAAGTAGAGAGACCACAAGTAATTTCTCATTCAGAACCTAAGAAATCTAGTTCAAACAAGACAAATACTCTTCCCTGCCCCAACATTCTTTTTAAAATGGATGACTGTTTTGCTTGCATGAATACATACAACATGTGTGTGCAGTGCCTAAGGAGACCAGAAGAATATATCAAATCCCCTGGAACTGAAGTTATAGACAGTTGTGACCTATGAGGGTGCTGTGAACCAAACCTATGTATTCTGCAAGAGCAGTTTAGAAGACATAAGACTGTGTCAGAATAAAAGAAGGAGGGTGAGGAAAGAAGGAGGAGGAGGAGAGGGTGGGGGAAGGGGAATAGAGAGATGGCTCAGTAGTTACAGGATTTGCTTTTTTCCAGAGGACTCAAGTGCACTTACCAGCACTTACTTCAGGCAACTCACAACTGCTCTGAGATAATGCTTTTGTACACTGGTTTAATAAAACACTGATTGACCAGTAGTCAGGCAGGAAGTATAGGCAGGGTGAGCAGACTAAAGGAATGCTGAGAAGAGGAAGAACAGAGTCAGGAGTTGCCAGCCAGACACACAGGAATCAAGATGAGAAGGCAGAACTGAGAAAAAGTACTAAGTCATATGGTTAAACATAAATAAGAGTTATGGGTTAATTTAGGTATAAGAGATAGTCAGGAATAAGCCTGAGTTAATGGCCAAAAGATTATAAATAATATCAAGCCTCTGTGTGATTATTGTATAAAAAGGTTCCAGGACAATGGGTGAGAGATTTGTCCCAACTGTGGGCCAGGTGGGACACAGGAAAACTTCTGACTACATTTGGCGTACCAACGTGGGTCTCTCGAATTTCCATAAGTCCTAAAAGTTTAAAAGGGGCTTCTAAACACACAATAATGGAGCCAAAAACAGCTTTCTACTCATTGTCTCATATGGGCCAAGATACAGAGACACCAAGCTACAGAGACACTGTGGTGTGTGGACTTGAACTACAGAATGGTGAGTTCATAGCATATAGGCTTGAGTGCACCATGGCAAATACCTGCCACAGTATACAGAGGCTTCTCCAAGCTGCCATGTATGCTGATTGGTGGATTCAGCTTTCACTAGTACAAGGGGAGAAAAAAGGTTCCTGGGCCAGATACAGAGGAAGGAAGATGGTAAGGCAGAGCTGAGAAAAGGTACCAAGCCATGAAGCTAAACATAAATGAGAATTATGGGTTAAGTATAAAAGCTAGTCAGTAACAAGTCTGAGCTAATGGCCAAGCAGTTATAAATTATATTAAACCTCTGTGGAACCACTTTTTAAAAGGCTACAGGACTGTGGGTGAGAGATTTGTAATATAAAAAAAAAAAGGAAGAAGGCTAATAAAGGAAAAATACAAAATGTACAATTTGAGGAGATGAGAACCAGGAAGTGGAATGGAGCTAAATCCTGTGTTCAAGGAGATTAAAAGATTAAGAAATGGAATAAAGGGAATGGTAACATCAGGGCAAGATCCAACCCAGCGATGTTTTAAAGCTTAGAACCAGCAGTAGCAGTACATGCCTTTAATACCAGTACTCAAGAAACAGGGGCCATCTTACCAAAGAACTCTAAGAATCAGCACAATCCCCATCAAAATTCCATCACAATTCTTTAAAGACCTTGAAAGGACAATACTCAGCTTCTTATGGAAAAACAAAAATGCAGAATAGCTAAAACAGTCCTGTACAATAAAAGAACTTCCAGAGATATCACCATCTCTGATTTCAAACTTTACTACAGAGCCATAGTAATAAAAACCATATGATATTGCCATAAAAACAGATACATTGATCAATGGAATCATATCAAAGACCCAAACATAAATCCACACACCTAAGAACACCAGATGTTTTACAAAGAAGCCAGAAGTCTACCATGGAAAAAACAAAGATTTATCAACAAATGATGCTGGTCTAACTGGATGTCAGCATGTAAAAGAATGCAAATAGATCCACAGTTATCACCTTGCACAAAACTCAAGTCCAAGTGGATCAAAGACCTCAACATAAAACCAGATACACTGAACCTAATAGAAGAGAAAGTGGGGAACAGCCTTGAACACATTGGCACAACTTCCTGAATAGAACATCAGTAGCACAGGCATTAAGATCAGCAATTAATAAATGGACTTCATAAAACTGAAAAGCTTCTGTAAGGCAAAGGACGGTCAATAGAACAAAATGGCAGCCTATAGAATCAGAAAAGATTTTCACCAGCTCCACATCTCACAGCTAATATCCAAAATATATAAAGTACTCAAGAAACATTTGGGAACTCAAGAAACTACACATTAAAAATCTAAATAATACAATTTTTAAATGGTGTAGAGATCTAAACAGAGAATTCTCAACAGAGGAATATCAAGTGGCTGAGAAACATTTTAAGAAATGTTTAACACCCTTAGCTATCAGAGAAATGCAAATCAAGATGATGCTGAGATTCCATCTTACACCTAGGACATGGAGCAAGAGGAACACTCCTCCATTACCGGTGGAAGTGCAAACTTGTACAACTACTTTGGAAATCAATTATGGTGGCTCCTGACACTATTTGGAATCCGACCACCCCAAGACCCAGCTATGACACTCTCAGGTATGTACCTAGAGGACACTCCATCCTACCACAAGGACACATGCTCAACTATGTTCATAGCAGCTTTATTCATAATAGCCAGAAACTGGAAACATTCTGGATATCCCTCAACCAAAGAATAAAGAACATATACTTTTATACAATGGAATATTAGTTAGCTGGTTTTTTTAAAAATCATGAAATTTGGGCCGGGCGGTGATGGCGCACACCTTTAATCCCAGCACTCAGGAGGCAGAGCCAGGCAGATCTCTGTGAGTTCGAGGCCAGCCTGGGCTACCAAGTGAGCTCCAGGAAAGGCGCAAAGCTACACAGAGAAACCCTGTCTCGAAAAAAAAAAAATCTTGAAATTTGCAGGCAAATGGATGGAACTCTAAAAAAAAAAATCATCCTGAGTGAGCTAACCCAGACCCAATAAGACAAACATGGTATGCACTCACTTATAGATGAATATTAGCTGTAAAGTAAAGGATAATCAGGCTACAATCCAAAAACTAAGAGAAGCTAAGTAACAAGGAGGGCTCAGAGGGACACATGGATCTCTCTAAAAAGGGAAAATAGAATAGATTTTGTGTAGTCGGTATAGGGATACACACCTTTAATCCCAGCACTCGGTAGACAGAGGTAGGTAAATTTCTGTGAGTTTGAGCCTGGTCAATAAAGAGATTTCCAAAACAGCAGGGGCTATTACACAGAGAAATCCTGTCCCAAGAAAACACAAAGAATTGATTTCAAGAGTACACTAGGAGTGGGAACAGGAGAAACCTGATTGAAGGGTGGAGGGAGAATACTGGGAGAGATGCCTGGAATTGGAGCCATTTCAAGCAAGGTAGAAACCAGGTGCAGTGGAAACTCCCTGGAATCTACAATGGTGACCTTGGCAGTTTGAAAGAAAATGACCCTCAAAGGGAGTAGAACTAGTAGGAGTGGCTTTATTGGAAGAAGGGTGTCACTGTGGGGGCAGGCTTTGAAGTCTCTTTCCTAAGCTTCACTTAGTGTG